AACAGGGCGCTGCATGGGCGGTTAATTACGCGGGGATTAGGCTAAAGTGATATTAAACTTGCGCTGCATATATTGCACTTCTTTTCCCACCCATCTGGACCCGGTTTCACGAAAAACGGAGGTGAGATCGAGTGCAAGTGGCTGGTGCGGCGTGAGCCTGCACCTACGCGTGTTACCATGTCTCCCCCACCGGTTGTCGGCTTTTGTTATGGGAGTGCAATTCTAAAAACGTCTAACATACCCTGATCTGGCCCCCACGTTGGTCAAACACATCTACTACGCAGTCCGTTTAGGGGGGATATGCAAGGAATAAACCGGTGTCCAAGCAATTAATCTCAATCCCGAGAACGTCCAAGGTTGCAAGATTTAAAATAATTATAGATGTACCGCTTTTGAAAGTCCAGTCGATGCCCACTCAACAATGGGCACAGCCGTATCAGCAAACTATAGAGGAGCTCGTAAGTATACCAAGAAAAGTTTATGCGGTACTTGGACAAAGAACAAAATATCGACCACACACACAATATTCTACCTCCATATGCCATACCGAACTAGTCAGGGAACACACAAAAATTTATCCGGTGGGGATACATGTTGGCTACCTTCATTTGTCGTCCTAAGAGGTAGCTGGGGTGTAACTGTCTCGTTGGGTACCATATTTGGCCTTTTAAACGGGTCGCTCGGTAGATGCGCTGGACTAACACGGGGGCCAGGTCAGGGTACGGCAGACGTTATTCTGGTCGGATTTATTCGGGTAGCTGGCTTATAACAAATGCCGAACACGGGGGGTGTGGTGGCACGCACAGGGGCGACCTCGGCCGCGCCAGCCATCTGCGCCCTCTCCCACCTCCGGTTTTCTTGACTTTGTCTTGACACCGGACTAAGGTGGGGGAGGGTCAGACAGTGGGAGTATGTGCTCCACAAGCCTGTTCTCACTGTTCCCTTGCCTTCTTTTCCCCAGCTGGAAGTCACCGCGTCTGCCTTCAGCCTGCTGAAGCTCGTAGTGGATATCGTAGAAATCGACGGTCGAACTATCGGTTA